AATGTCTTTATGATAAAAGGATGTTTTTTTCTTCTGGGTAGATGCCTAGTAGTAGGATTGCAGGGTCAAATAGAAGTCTAATTTGAGTTATTTAAGAATTCTCCATATGTATTTCCAAAGAAGCTGTATTAGTTTGCAGTCCCACCAACAGTGTAAAAGTGTTCTACTCTCTTCACATCCACCCCAGCATCTGCAACTTTGGGACTTTGTGATGTTGGTTATTCTCACTCTGACGATTAGGGGCAATGATCATTTTGTCATATACGTGTTAGCTATTCATCTGTCTTCCTCAGAGAAGGTTCTATTCATGTCTCTTTCCCAGTGATAGATGGGCTGTTGAATCTTTTCTTGTTGATTAATTTGAGTTCTCTATAGATCCTAGTTATCAAACCTTTGTCAGATTCAAAACATGCAAATGTATTTTCCCATTCTGAAGGTTGTCTATTTGCTTTGATTGTTGTGTCCTTAGCTGTGCAGAAGCTCTTCATTTTAATGAAGTCCCACTTGTTTATTTTTGTTGTTATTGCAATTGCCACTGAAGTCTTCTTCATAAAATCTTTCCCCAGGCCAACATCCTCAAGAGTTTTTCCCATATTCTTTTAGGAATTTTATCATTTCATGCCTTAGATTTAAATCATTTATACATCTTGAATCAATCTTTGTCAGTAGTAAAAGGTACAGGTCCAGTTTCAGTATTTTACATGTGGTTATCCAGTTTTCCTAGCACAATTTATTAAACAGGGATTATTTTCCCCTGTGTATGCTTTTGTTTGGTTTATCAAAGATGAGATCACTAAAAAAGACTGGTTTCATCTCTTGGTTTTCTATTCACTTCCCAAAGTCTATGTCCCTATTTTTGTATCAATGCCATGCTGTTTTGATCACTGTGGACTTATAGCTTAAAGTCTGGCAAATGGATGCCTCTGGCTTTGTTTTTATTACTAAGAAATTGCCTTGGCTATATGAATTCTTTTCTAGGTCCATTCAAAAAAGAACTATTTTTTCCAGTTCTTCAAAGTATGATGTTGGTATTTTAATGGGGATTAAAGTATAGACATTTTAACAATTTTTTAATGGGGACTAAAGTATAAACATTTTGACAATTTTGATTCTTCCCAGCCAGGAGCACAGTATGCTCTTCCATTTGTTAATGTCTTCTGCAATTTCTTTTCTTAAGGTTTCATAATTCTCTCTGTAGAGGTTCTTCATCTCTTTTGTTAGGTATAGTCCTAAGTATTTCATTTTCTTTGAAACTACTGTAAAGTGAATTATGTCTTTGATTAGCTTCTCAACTTGGCTGTTATTGGCAAATACAAAGGCTACTGATTTGTGGACACTGACTTTTTACCCTGAGATGTTACTGTATTTCTTGATTGTTTCCAGTCTTATGGTTGAATCGCTGGAGTTCTCCAGGTATAAGATCATATCATCAGCAAAGAGTGAGAGTTTGACCTCCTCTGCTCCCCTTTAGATGTCCTTTATATTTTTCTCTTGTCCGATTGCATTACCTAGAACGTCTAGCACTAATGTTTAATAGTAGTGGTAATAGAGACATCCTTGTCTGGTTCTAGTTCTAAGTGGCAATGCTTTCACTTTTATTCCAGTTAGTATAATATTAGCTGTGGGTTTATCATAGATGACTTTAATCAGTTTAAGAAAGTTGCTGCCTACATCTATATTCTTAAATATTCTAATTAGAAAAGGATGCTAAATTCTATTATATGCTTTTTCTGCACCTACTGAGAGGATTATGTGGTCTTTGTTTTGCTTCTATTCATATGGTAAATCACATTTATGGATTTGCATAGGTTAAACCAGCCTCACAATCCTGGGATGAAGCCTACTGGATCATGAGGTATAATTTTTTTTTAATGTGGAGCTATAATCTATTGGCTAAGATTTATTGAGAATTATTGCATCTATATTTGTTAGTGAAATTGGAAGTTCTCCTTTTTAGTTGGGTCTTTTCCTAGCTTTGCTGTAGAATGTGTTGGAGAAGACTCCTTCCTTCCCAATGTTTTGGAATAGTTTCTGCAGTATAAGTACGAGCTTCTCTTTGAAGATTGGATAGAATTCTGGTGTGAAGCCATCTGGTCCAGGGCTTTTTGTTGTTGTTGTTGGAAGATTTTTTATTGTTTCTTAGATCACAGTGCTTAGTATTACTCTGTTCAAGAGATCAATTTCTTCTTGGTTAAGTCTAGGAATAGGGTGTGATTCTAGATATTGGTCCATTTTCTCTACATTGTCAAATTTCTGGGCATAGAGTTTCTTGTAGCAGTTAGAGATAATCTCTTGTATAGAAAAAATATTTTTCAATTTTTAAGTGTTCAAAAATATTAGGCTGTTGCTTTTATACTCAAGCAACAATCCATCTTAATATAAAATTCTTGGGTTACACTTTTTTCCCCTAAAGACTTCATTGGCATTGCTCTATTTTCTTCCAGTTTTGAATGCTTCTGTGAAGAAATATAATATTCTTCTTGTTCCACTGTAAGAGATTGATCTTTTCTGCCAATGTACCCAAAAGATTTGTTATTTTTTAATTCCAATTACTTACTAGGACTACCTAATCATGGGACCTCTGGTTATCTTAGCACATATGTCTTTTCAATCAGTTGTTTGTAGAAAGTTTTCTTTTGTCTCATTGTTTGTTTCCCCTCCCTTTTTTGCCTAAATTCTGTTACCTCACATTTCATCCCCATCTGTTATCTTGAAACTCTTCCCTTAGGTCTTGTATTTCTGCCTTGTATTCTTATTACATAGAGGTGAATGCTTTATTGCATATTTTAAGTTCATGCCTATTGTTTTTCACATTATTATCTGCTCCATGGCACCATTTTTTCTGAGTATTTGGATCAAGCATTTGTTTTTCCTGGTTTCTCTCCTTCTCCCTCCCCTTTTTTCCTTTAGTGTCTTTGACAAGATCTTATACAGGTCCCTTTTGAAGCCTAACGATTTGAAAGCTTTTTGAACCAGTTTTATTTGTGTATGAAAGAGGTTTTTGTTGGGGAAAGATACATATCTTTATCCATGGTTGTTTTTGAGTACCTTTTGCCTTGATTTCTCTATAGTCAATGCTGACAATGTAGTCTTCTTGTTTTTACAGTCTCAGCTAAACACTACACAATTAGCTTACCTACATGGGGTTTCTCATTCAGTACTGCCTCCTGTCCTTCTCAGATCCAAACTAAGATCAGAGAATATGCCAGCAACTTGTGCACTAAATTCCCACTTTTTAGAACAAGGGATTTTTACAAATACTTTGGTGACTATATCCCCAGATGGTCATATCAGTCATACTGCTATAGCATCTCTGATTCCTGGCTTCTCCTTAATCACCTTATCCCTAAATTTCACTATCCCCTGGTCATGCAAGAATCACCCTTTCCCTAGGTTAGAGTTACCAGACTCAAAAGGCTTCCTATCAGGGCAGTGCCTGTGGCTTAAAGGAGTGGGGTGCTGGCCCCATATACCAGAGGTGGTGGGTTCAAACCCAGCCCCGGCCAAAAAAAAAAAAAAAAAAAAAGGCTTCCTATCATCTGATTCCTGCCTATTCTATACAAGGAAAAGATATTGCTCTTAATGAATCTCTAAACCTGCTTATTCCATGAGTAATAGAGACATTGATGTTTTGAGATCCAGAGCTTGATATAAAATCTGAAAGAGTTAATTCAACTGGCTTTCCAAGTACATGTCTTCATTTGAGGACATACCCTTAGAGCCAGTGGTCCATCTGTCAAACCCGAGTTAAGGATAAGTAGAAGATCCATCAGTGACTGTAAAATGCAGAATCCTAACCACACCTAATAGCAACCAGCCCACAGGCCAATCTTACAACTTTAATTTTACTAGCTGACAATATAAACAGAATAAATACTTTTTAATTAAGCTGTTATTTGAAATCCAGTGAAAGGGCTAAGCAACAATAACAACACTAGTAATTTACTGAATAAGACATTCTAAAATTATACTTCAGAGTATGATCCCTCACCTTGGAGAAATGTACTTGGATGATCATTATATCTACAGTTACAGTTATCTTCTCTCTGATTCTTGCCAAATGTTCACTTGATCTTTACTAATTCTAGAAGCCTTGAAACTTAGGAAACAGTTTCAAATATTTTCTAGTAATAGTTTCCCTTGAAACATAATTTTTCTACTTTAAGTCTGCTCATTGGTCTCTGATTCTATGAGATCAACTTTTTAGATTCCATATATAAGTAACATTACAGAGCATTTTTCTTTCTGTACCTGATTAATTTCATGTACCATAAAGTCCTTTGGTTCTGATAAAGAGATACATTTTTAATAATCTCACCACAAAAAAATAAGTTGGTAAGGTGATGGATATGGTAATTAGCTTAATTCTTTTATAAAGAACATATAGATCAAAACCTAAATATGCATAATTATTGTTGTCAATTACAAACAAATTTTTAAAAAATAATCTACTTATTGGGTTAGGTTGATCCCTCAGAGAAATATGGGGAAATTCTAGTCTATTATCTCACTGTATACAAAAGGGAAGTCTTTTAACAGATTTTATTATATATATTTAAGGTACAGATAAATAAAGTGAGATAAAGTAAAATGGTAACAGTAGTGAAGCATGACAACATATCCATTATCTCACATAGTTACCCAACACCTTCCCCACATCAAGACCAGCTATACTTGACTCACATACCTAAAATCCTACATGCAATACACTTTATTAGCTATGGGCTTCATGATGTACATTACATCTTTAATCTTAATTTACTTGGCCAAGTATTGTGGCCCATTCAGAGGAGGGGAGGGACAAGGTGATGGTAGCACTGAGCACTTCAACCAAGAGCAGGGCAAAGGCACTGAGGTAGTGGAGGTCAGTGAGTAAGGTATGGCCAGGGTACTGGGAAAATATTCACTAAAGCCATAGGGCTTGGAACAACAACTGTTTAAAGTGTTTGTGTTGAGTAAGTGAATGAGTGGACTGATACCTTCCCTACTGGGACATTTCCTTACAGGAACTCATGGAGCCACAAACTGGGACCAACAAAACCACTGTTGCTGAGTTTGTTCTCCTGGGTCTAGTGGAAACTGAAGAGATGCAGTCCGTGGTCTTTGTACTCTTTCTCTTTGCCTACCTGGTCACTGTCGGGGGCAACCTCAGCATCCTGGCTGCCATCTTAGTAGAGCCCAAACTCCACACCCCCATGTACTTCTTCCTGGGGAACCTATCCATGCTGGATGTTGGATGTATCACTGTCACTGTTCCTGCAATGTTGGGTCAACTCTTATCCCACAAGCGTACAATTTCCTATAATGCCTGCCTTACACAACTCTTCTTCTTCCACCTTCTGGCCGGGATGGACTGCTTTCTGTTGACTGCCATGGCCTATGACCGATTTCTGGCCATCTGCCAGCCCCTTACTTATAGCACCCGCATGAGCCAGATGGTCCAAAGGATGCTGGTGGTCATGTCCTGGACTTGTGCCTTTACCAATGCACTGACCCACACTGTAACCTTATCCACACTCAACTTCTGTGGCCCCAATGTGATCAATCACTTCTACTGTGACCTCCCACAGCTCTTTCAGCTCTCCTGTTCCAGCACCCAGTTCAATGAGCTGCTGCTCTTTGTAGCAGCAGCCTTTATGGCTGTGGCCCCTTTGGTTCTCATCACTGCATCCTATGCCCATGTGGCAGCTGCAGTCTTGCGAATCCGCTCTGCAGAGGGCAGGAAGAAAGCCTTCTCTACCTGTGGCTCTCACCTCACTGTAGTGGGCATCTTCTATGGGACAGGTGTCTTCAGCTACATGAGGCTTGGCTCAGTGGAATCTTCAAATAAGGATAAAGGGGTTGGGGTTTTCATGACTGTTATCAACCCCATGCTGAACCCACTTATCTACAGCCTCAGAAATACTGATGTTCAGGGTGCTCTGTGTCAGGTTCTTATGGGGAGGTGGTCCCTGATCTGAGAAATGATAGAGTCCCTCCTTTCCTGCCTTTTATGGACTGAGGAAAATTTCCCAAAGTGACCAGGAAAACTGTCTTATAACATTTTTCCCCCTATCTCTTAAGGCCTAAAGATCCTATCTTGTTCATTTATTTATTTATTCAACAAATATTAAAATACTTTTATGATCCAGTCTTCTAGGGCATTAGTGAACAAATAGACAAAAGTTTCTGCACTCAAAATCACATGCTATAAAGGCAGACAAAGTAAATAATTATCCTGTGTAGTAATATCACATATTACTTATGTGATAAATTCTGTAGAAAAAAGTATGATAGGGAGATATGAAGTTAGGTTCTACCAAGCAAGCCTCCTAGGCAAGTTGCTACGTTGTTTTTAGCTGGGCCTGCTTTCTTTGGCAGAGTTAACACCTTGGCAGGCCTGTATTTCTGAGCAGCAATATCATATAGGGAAGAGCCTCTTGTTTAATCACAGCTTAAGTCACCAAGAATATCACTGCAAAGTTTCCTTCTGTTGGGTATGTGAGATCCCTCCCACATCAGAGTGTGGAAAGGTGTTTTAAACCATGGGTACAGTGCCAAGAATAATTTCATTCTACTGTTCACATAAAATAAGTTCCTTCTCTTTCTACCACATAATAATCCCAGAAGATGTTTACTAGACAAGTTAATTCTAGAGAAGGAAAGAGTTTACTAAATCAAAACTACATTAATACATATTTATCTTCCAGTAAAAAAAAAACATGAATGTTTCATCTCTATCCCCTGCCATATCTTTCTCTCTTATTTGGACTAACCTTCCTTACACATATAATAAAGCCTTTGAGGGAGTAAGCATTTATATTCCAAGCAAGTACTTAGAACTTCCATTGTGAAATATCCAATATAAGCTTCTTCTTCGAAGTCTTACTTTTCTCTCCCAAAATTCCTAGCTCAGAAAATATATATTCATAGTCCCCGAAAGTGATGCTTTTTCTCACTTTAAGTTATTAGTATATCAGCACAGCTCCAACCCAGAATATTTCATCCTCTTGATATTTATCCAGCCTTCACTTCTTTCATTCCTGATTCTCTTCAGCCTCCCTGAGAAGGCTACTTATAAGTAGATAGGAGGAATAAGTCCTAGTGTTCTATGGCACTGTAGGATGACTATACTAAACAATAACTTCTTATATTTTTTAAATAACTAAAAGATTTTTAATGTGCTAAACACTACGAAATAAGGTTTAAGATGATGCATGTGCTAATTTCACTGATTTGATCATTATGCGCTGTATACTTATATTGAAATATCACACATTGTACCCCACAAATTAAAATTAAAATAACATAATTGAATGAATGAGGTTCTTAAGAAGACTCTAGCTTCCTTCCCCATGCTTGAGGAACTTCTAAGTCCCCCAGTAGACAAACTAAACTACTGTACCCAAGAAAATAAAGTTTACTTTAGGTTTAGGTCAGGAAAAAAAGACCATGAAGACAGAAATTAAGGAGAAAAAAACAGTTAATAAACAGAATTATGTGAGCATTTGCTTACAAAGGCAATAAGAAAAGAAATTCTATTCAACAATAAAAAAGTTAGCAGAAGGAGCAGGGGACTGAGATGTTTGGGTCTTAGTATTGACATGGAAGGAATTGTATCATTTAAATTAGAGTTATAGTTTTTAAAAAACACACGAAAAATTAGTGGTAATAGCTGAACATAAATTTCAATTAGAATACTTTAAATTACATCTCCTCCTCAGGGTCACCTATGATTAACAAAGAAGAAAATCTTACTAGTAAGTTAAGAACCCTTTGAACACCTCCACTTCATCTGTTTTCTTTACTGGGGAATTATGTAATATTTCATTGAAGCACAAAGTTCTATGTGAGGAAAAGAGTCTGCAATAATATCTAAATATCAATGTCAATATATCTTCTGGACAAAATTATATAATGATTTCAAATGTCACCATCATAGAGATAAGAGAATTTTCCATTTACAAATGACTCTTCCCAGGGCTCCCTTCATGTCTCTGTTCCTCAGGCTGTAGATGAAGGGGTTCAGCATGGGGGTCACCACAGTGTACATCATAGCCATGACAATCTCCTTCAGAGTAGAATTATTAGCTGATGGGCATAAGTACAGACCAATAACAGTTCCATAGAACAGTGACACCACAGAGAGGTGGGAGCCACAGGTAGAGAAGGCCTTGCGGATACCCCTACCAGAAGGGACCTTAAGGATGGACGATACGATTCGTGTATAGGACACAATGATCAGAACAAATGGGATGACGAGAATGAGGCCTCCCATGATGAATATCACCAATTCATTAACTTGAGTGTCAGAACAGGCCAACTTCAACAAAGCAGACATATCACAGAAAAAGTGAGGGATCACAATGTCCCCACAAAAACACAATCTGGCCATGAGTAGGGTATGCAACATGGCATGGAATGCGGTCAGCACCCAGGACAGTGCCACCAGGGAGCGACAGACCTGGGGGCTCATGATGATGCTATAGTGCAGGGGGAAACAGATGGCCACATAGCGGTCATAGGCCATGGCCACAAGAAGAAAGCTCTCCAGGTCTGCAAAAAACAGGAAGAAGTACATCTGAGTCAGGCAGCCTGCATAGGGAATAGAAGGGTCTTGTCTCTGCATGATCTGTAGCAATTTGGGCATTGTGACAGAGGAAAAGCAAAGGTCAGAGAAGGACAAGTTGCTGAGAAATAAATACATAGGTGTGTGAAGGTGGGGGTCCAGTCGAATGAGGACTATGATGAGTAGGTTCCCCAGGACAGTAGTAAGATACATGGCCAGGAACAGGGCATAGAATAGGTTTTGCTGCTCTGGTTTGATAGGTAGGCCCAGGAGGAGGAACTCAGAGATGACAGTTTGGTTCCTTCCTGTCATGTTCCGTGTTCAGTGTCTTCAAGAGAAAATAATAGGTCCTTTAAAAACCTGAATAAAAAATAAATTCATTTCTATGATACATGGTCTGTTATGTGTTTGGCACCAAATGATTTCTCCATTATTTTCCATGACAACCATCTTTTAAATCAGAAATATACTATATCATTAACTCCAAGCCACTTTCAGATTTTGTTTCTTTACTTCTACTTAGATGTAACAATATTGACTCTCCTTTCATCACACAAACACTCTCACCTTTAACTTCCATGTTATCATACTGGTTCTCCTAATACTTCCCAGTCCATTTAGGGAGAATGAATAACATTATCTTGTATATTAATGTTTCCTGGAGCTTTTTCCTAAAAGCTACTTTCTTATAATTCTATAGATATAGCCCTAAAAGAGTTCACCTATTCCTGTGGTTTTGGTTACAGTCTAAACCTTGTGAGTAAACCTCCCTATCACCCTTAGTACTGTATTACCAATTGCTTCCTGATAATCTCCCCCTGATTATCTCCCCAGGGATGTATCACAGCCATCTTGAGCTCCACAGATCCCAAATGAAATTCATAATTTTACCCTGCCTCTCTCCCAATCCACTCCTCTAGTATTTCATACCTCAGTTAAAGGAATTCAGGCTCAAGTCAAGAACCTAAGAGTTTTATTTCTTTCTTTCATTTCTCTCACCATCAAAATCTAATCTAATAAGTCTCATAAAATGCCTAACTCACAGAGATGCCACTTCATTCTCTTTCTAATTCATCTACTGTTTATCTCAACCACCACTATTTGGACCAGACCAATATCTTATCTTATTCAAACTATTGAACAGCCTCTTAATTTATCTCCTTGCTTCCATGCTCACTCTCCTTCAATCCCTTCAAACTGCAGAATTCTAGGATAAAACAATAACCATCATTTCCTGCTTAAATCTTTCCAGCAACACTGGACTTAGAAGTATAATTCTTGCCTCTAGTTTTTCATACTTACTGTTCCTCCTGCCTAATATCTTCTTCCCTCTTCTCCTTTTTCACCTGGCTTAACTCTACTTATCCTTTAGTTGTAGGTATAGTCTCCACAAAGTTTGTGTGCAATTTAAAATCTACAACTATTTAAAAATTGCACACGAACTTCATGAACACCCTGTATTATATGGCACTTGCTCAGCTAAACCTTCCCTGTTTCTGAAGACCACATAAGACCCGCTTCTATGTTTCCATAGTAATCAATGGCCTTGATTACTAGTTGAAGCTTAATTTCTTTCCAGGAACTCCATATAGGAAAGGCCCTGGTGCCTTTGTGACTGCAGCAAGGTTATCATGATACCTACCATGATATCTGGTTGTGGCCACAGTTTCATTAATTTTTGTAACTGTCCTTCAGATGACATAAATTCCTTAAACTTTAAATGCAGAAAACTCCAACTGAAGTTATAATAACTACTCTGACTAAATACTCCTGGAATAAGAACTTATTTGCCTTAACCATTTTTCATTAGCTTTTGACATTTCATTGTAAAATTCTAAATGTATCTTTAGACCAATGGAAAATATTAGACCACACAATCACATTACTCATTATCCTAGGTAATCCAGTATGCATGTCCATACAGTCACCTTGTTCCTTGTGTTGATATCCACATCATTCAGTGATACTAATGTGAGAAAAAATACATCTGATAGAGAGGTTTAGCAATTTGGGGAGAAAAGGAAGGAGCAATTTCTACCCTTGAGACTCCACTCTTGTTCTTTTCCAGATATCCATAACAGTGTCTCAGAGCTAAGAAAGCTTAAGAAGGGTGTTAAGGCATATGGTAAGACATATAACTTCCTTAAGAGACATAACTAAAACCAACTGCTGAAATTTTCATCCTAATGATGCTGTTTAGTCTACATTAATAGTTTTTAAAATTTGGACATAAGTGCTAGTGTTGCAGTAAAAAAAAAAAATGCATCAAGTGAAGTTTCATACACTTGATTTCTCAAAATTTGTTTCCCTGAGAAATGTATGGGACCCATTTCTGCTGTCAAGGATCTTGTTTAGAAATCACAAACCAGAAAGACATCACTTGAAGATGCTACCACCAACTAGGGATATAAGTTTCAGCTCATCTCTTAATGATGCCGCTCATCTTCTTTATATAGTAAATCCATAGTTCTCAGCCCAGACTTTCCACAAGAATCACAAAGGTCGCTGCTTCTAAAATTTCAATTTATATATAAACTACCTGGTTGTACTGTTAAATGTTGATTTTGATTCAGTAGGTCTGGTGTGGGACCTAATATTCTACATTTTGAAAGTTCAAATTTTACATTTGGTGTTGCTGATTCTGTTGCTTTGTGGACCATGCTTTGAATAGTAAAGATACATGATATATTTTTAAAATATAGATTACTGTACCATCTCCCAGTAAATGTAATCAGAATCTCTGGATGGGTGCCTTAAGTAATGCAAACATATATCCAAGGATTAGGAACCTGTATTAAGATGCCTAACTCACAGAGATGCCATTATGGTGAAATGATACAATCTTGTCAGAGTACATAGGTACAGTAATATTAATGAACACTATCATTAATAAAAAGCTTAAGTGGTGAACATTAACCAAAAAGTTTCTGGAAAGTGGCAAAGTCTTGAGAGGCAGATATGTGGAGAAAAGGAAAGTTATCAGACCTGAAAAACTATCCAACCTCATACAGGTACAGCTGGAGAAATCAAGAACCTCATGTTATAGGGATGCTAAAGCACCAGCTGATTCACTCTCCTGCTCAACTTACCCAGTGTTTCTGAGAATAACTCCAAGGCTGACACCTTCTCCCCTTTACTCATTATACACATGTGAAGTAATAGCCTCTGTAGTTGCCACCTGGGTCTGTACCTGCTCTTCTCATACCTCCCCCTCTACCTATCTCTGGGCCTAGGGGACTCTGCATCCCAGAGGAACCTGGGTCCTGAAGGAACTCATTAAAGAAAAAGTAATTAACCATGACCTCTTTAGAACAAATTATCTGAGTGCTGCAGCATCACTGCTGATCACATCTGACTATACTTTAGGGGATCATGAGGATGGAGAGAAGCTCATGGACAGACGTTTCATCACTGCTTCCTTAGGGGATGGACAGTAGACCTGTGTACCTGGAGGCTACATTTAGAAAGAGGAAGAATGATGATTGAAGAAGCCATAAACTTATGGTCCATCTTACAAGGGTACATGTGAATCTTTCTAAATGCAGAATATAAATGTCTTAACACATTAAGAAAATGCCATGAAGGCTATGTTAACCAGTTTGGTGAAAATATTTCAAATCGTATATAAAAACAGTACACTGTACCCCATGACTGCATTAATATACATAGCTATAATTTAATTTAAAAAAGGAAAGAAAGAAGAAAAAAGTAAGCAGGGACCAGACTTCAAATGTTATAAAATATCTTACATATAATAATTTAGTCTTTATCTTGAGGACAACAAGAAGCCATCAGTGGTCTTTGAAGAGAGTACCACTATGGAAAGACACATGCTTCAGAAATATTTTAGGTGGCAGAATCTCACCTTGTAAACAGACCTTAGGAGAGAGAAAAACTGCAGTCAACAAGGATCAGACGTCTATGACTCGATCATATGCAGAGACACAGAAAGGGCATGAGTAACAGAAAACATGAACTCTTCTAGATCATATTCAATTCTTCCTCAGGACAAGGTAGAGAAGGAAATCCAGATTTGCATATCACCTTACCTCTCTAGGCAAATCTTAATAATACCCACACACCATTACCCTTACCATCCTCCATATATGTCAGATTATCTCCTAGTACCAGCTTCCTTACTAGGCAATTGATTTCAAGAGCATAACTGACAGCTCAGCGCCTGTGGCTCAAGCAGCTAAGGCGCCAGCCACATACATCTAAGGTGGCAGGTTCAAATCCAGCCCAGGCCCACCAAACAACAATAATGGCTGCAACCAAAAAATAGCCAGGCATTGTGGTGGGCGCCTGTGGTCCCAGCTACTTGGGAGGCGGAGGCAGGAGACTCGCTTGAGCCCAGGAGTTGGAGGTTGCTGTGAGCAGTGAAACCATGGCACTCTACAAGGGGCTCAGCTTGAGGCTCTGTCTCAAAAAAAAAAAAAGAAAAAAAAAGATCATAACTGACATTTATAACTCCTTCTTCCGTCCCTATTCTGTGTCCCTTTTTTATCACTTCAGCTAGATTCAACTTTCATTCCTTGTGTCTAAATTCTCAGAATTATTGGTTTTATTGAGTTGCTATAATAGTTTTCCATTAACTTTTACTATGCAACACCCAAAAGAATCTCCTATATATCAACCATGGTCTGTTCTCATTACATAGAAAAACCACAATTCACAATTTTCCATTGTTAACTAAGATTGAATTACCTCAGACAGTATAGTAATCCCTATTTTTGCCTGTCAGTTCAGTGACATAAAGAATCCCAAATTCCCAAATTGCAGTCTCAGCTTTTAATAGAATGGAACTACTGTTCTGATAAAAAGCATTCTGTCCCTGGGGATTGTATCAGACATTTCTTGCAGACCACTTCAAATAATTTCAGCCATCATCTCTTATTTCAGCCACAGCTGCAGTAACCAGTTTTCACAGATTTCAACCAGCTTCATACAGATTTAGTCTAATAGTATTATCTTTGACCTACTCCATTCACTTCTTTTTCCTGCCATAGGGTTTCTCTGAATATCATGGAGAACTAGTGCAATACTCATACATACACAACCTACAGTTCAAAAGAGTTAAGGACTTCCCCTCTATTCCTCACTTCTCCCCATAAGATGTAATTCTTGAATTAACTACTTGCAAATAAGACTTTGTCTCACTCTCTGCATTATGGGTGACCCAGGCTATGATAGATCAATAAATCAGCAGAGCCCCAAACTGTAGAGGTGAGAAGCAAAAATCCTATGAGTACTGTACATTACTTGGTCTAATAATGAGAGAAGTCAGCACTGCTACCACCACTTGATTCCTG